GCGTGGCTAGACTGTTCAACCACCTGCAATGCCTGCTGCCCAAAGGAATTGCTAAACAGCAAGGAACCCCTTCCAGGTGCACCTGCCCCCAGCATTTTCTGCTCCATCCTGGCTCACCTTGCAAGCCCCACAGAGCAGCCTGTGCCCTCCACTCACCCATTGGGTGGGCAGAGGCTCAAGGAGCCAAAAAGCTGGACATTTGCAGGATTGCACAGAGAAGAGCCACCCGTCCCATCCCCTTTTCTCCAAAGTGTGCCCAAGTTGGCAAGGGCACAAGGTTGAGTGGGGAGCGATGGATGCTCCTGTCTCCAAGAGCTAGGAGGGCCTGTGCTCCTCCAATCTCCCTGCTCCACCCATCGTTAAAACCCATTCCTGTCCCAAAGCGAAGAGCTGGGGACACGCAGCGCTGCCCGAGTGGGACATGTGTGGGAGGTGGGTGTCCCCTGGCCATGCCAGGCCGTAGCCATGAGCAGCGCAGGGAGAAGCACGTCCTGGGAGAGCTGCTCCCTACCAGCCCTACTGGCTTGGCCAGAAAGTTGAGCTCGCCCGGATTAGTTGGTCTGGGTGTGTCGGAGTGGTTTGGGAACACTCTCCAGAGCAGGATTTTGCACGGTGGAGGGGAAAAAAAAAAGTGGAGGGGAGTCCTCTGTGATTTACATGTTAAGGAGATATCATCATGGCACAAGAATTTCAACCGATTACATTCTGGGTGTGGGAAAATACAGGACTTTCTTCAGTTCTCACTTGAAGGTTGACACAAAGCCCAGGAAACAATACCCCAATACTTCTCATTTTCCAGTGAACCTTAACCCCAGCAGGACAAAGCGAGGACAGGAGCAGGTTCTGCAGCTCCGGGAGGGTCCGAAACACGGACGAGGGCTCCAGGCAAGGGCTTTTTTGGAGGAAGGCGGCTCTGCTGACTGTCCCACCCTGCCTAGGCCTGGGACAGGGGTGCAGCGGGACCCTCAGCGCGGTGGCACGAGGCAGCAGGAGGGCTCAGTGTGTTTTGGTGCGGGCAGGCGTCGCGTTAGCGCGTGCCTGGGGCGCGCAGCTCCCTGCCTGCCCTTCCTAGCCCCAGGGCCTGCGTGCAGCAAAACCCTTCTGCCGGGCACGCAGGCAGCGCCTGCCTCTCGCTCCTCTCCTCCGGCGCCAGTTCCCTACTAAACGGGACCAGGAGGAAACTTTGGCAATGGCCATTCCAACCCTTGCAGCCCGTGCCACCTGGGGACTTCCAGGTGTCCCAGTGCAGGCACCTGGTGGCAAAGCCCTGGATTGTGGTATTGCCCACCAGACTCCGCATCTGCCATAAAAACCCCTTCCTTTTGCGTTTCCTTAGATGATGATGATGCCGACTCTGGGAAGCAGGACTCGGAGGAGCCCGACACGACGGACAGCGAGGTTGGTTGGCTCTGCTCAGCCCCATGGCTTCAACTGCCTCTGGGCTGGCAGTGCTTTGGGTCAGGAGCCCTGTGCTGGGAGGCAATGTGAGATGTAGGAGGGACTCACTGGTGACAGCAGCGACGGCTCTTACTACACGAGATGCCAACCCCCTTTCCCACTGCCCGTTTCCAGACTGACCACTCTTCTCCTCTGTGTAGGTGGCTGCCCCATATGAACACAACATCCCCCAAGAAGCCCAAGCTGAAGGGAAATATTCTTGTGCCAAAGACAGAGCTCCTGCACTGCTAAAGAAGAGAAAAAGAGCACAGGATGCCCGGACAAAAGGTAGGAAGGAGAAGCCCTTTTTGGGATCAACTCTGTTCTGGTGGAGCTCCGGACATTTATGTGAACGGGTCTGAGTCCTCCTGTTTGCTCAGCCATCCCACAGAGGTGTGGATTGCAGAAAGCCAAATTCCCAGCAGGGACTTATTGACACATGGAGGAAAGTTTCTTGCCAACTCTGTCAATTTTTTTTCCAAGAGCAGCTGTAGAGGTTTCAATGGGACATGTTGTACCCTGGCTTCCTACAGGTGAATAAGCAAAAGGTTGTTCTCGATAAGGGCCAGGATAAAACAACGTGCCTGTCAAGCCTGAAATACAGCCCTGTCAGAAATATCCTGTGGTGGCAGTCAGCAAAGAAAGGGCAGTGTTGACCGACGGGAAGGACAGAGAGGGCTCTTGCGTAGGCATCAAAGGGCGCTTGTTTAACGAGGCAGAGCTGCCCCTGCCCTCGTCCGGGCCTGCCGCGATGCCTGGAGAAGCAGAGCCCTGCTCACATCATGCACCTCACTGCGATGCGCTGAACGGGGGGAAATCCCCCCCAAAACGAGTCCTGCTGATCTGGGAAAGGGATGTGGGAACACATCCTTGTTGGGGGTTTCTCTGTCTGCTTCTCCTCCACACGTGGTTTGTGCTTTAATACCTTCCCATCGCAATGCGAGAGGGTTTCTCTTCAACTCCCCTTTGCTGAGCTTGCTTCCTCCCACACGGTCCATATTTTGGGACTTGGCCATGTTGTCCCTGCGCACCTACATCCATGGCTCTGTGGTTAACACCTGTGCTCTTCCTCCTAACAGCATCGAAGAAGCTGCTCAAAGGAAGAAAGAAAGTCAAAGCGGAGGAGAGCTTGGCAGGGGCACCAGTGCCCACCAAGAGCCTGGAGAACTGCTCCGCTTCCCCCCGCGCCAGCCCCAAGGACAGCTAACAGCAGGAGGAACCTCGGCACAGGGCCATGCACAAAGAGAGGGTGTAGGGCTCCATGCCTGCAATGGGATGCATGAGGACTCTGCATGGAGCTGGAAAAAGCCGCCCAGGTGCTCCTGAAGGAGGCGGGTGGATTGGGGGGTGCCTTGGGGCAGCTGCTGGAGCAGCATCAGGTGATGCAGGGCCCAGGTGGGTTCCCATCGCTGTGAGAGGAGGAGGAGGCTCTCAGCTGTGCAACGCCAGACACAGACCCCTTTCTTCCATGGGATTTTGTGCAAGGTGAGCGGCTCTCCCTCCGCCTGCTCCCTGCAACGGGCATCCTGATGCAGACCCAGGAGGGGCTTGGACACGCACAGGGTCCTGCTCTGCCCATGCACGAAGCTCCAGCCATTAAAGCCCCGCTCAGGATTCCCATCCGCGCTCAGGATTGGTCTCCACGTGGCTCCTTGTGGGAAGGCTGCCCCTTCCCTGCTCCCTGGTTCTCCGCTCCGGTGCAGCGCGTGGCTCAAGCGCAGGAGGGAGCCGGACGGGAGGGTCACGGAAGGCCGGGGGGATGGGGGGGTTAATCACGCTGCTGCGGAGACCCCCCTCCCCGCACGACGGCGGGAACCCGCGGGCGCGGGAAAAAGGGGGGGGCGGTGCTCACAGCGCGGGAAAAGGGGGCGGGGCCTGGCGGGGGGCGCGGGCGGCCCCCCCGACATCCCACGCGGCTTCACAACCCGACTGTGATCGCGGGGGGCAGCATGCGAAGCCACCGCTTGCCCTCTGGGCTCGTGGGTCCGTAACCTTCCCTGTGGGGCAGTCACTCCCCATGGGGATCTGTGACCCCATCCGTGGGGTCCATCATCCTCCACAGTATCTGTCATGCCCCATGGGGGTCCATCACCCTGCGTGGGGATCCTGGCTCTGCCCTGGTTCAAGTTCCAGACTTGTCTCCCGGCTCATCCAAAGGGCGAGGGGGACCACCCTGCTGGGCTCCCCTAGGCCTTGGGAAGGGCTCAGCCCCTGGAGCAGGGAGCAACGCGGAGCTGGATCCCACAGCCCTGGGAAGAGCAGCCGGGCACCGCAAGGGACAGCGGCTGGGGTGACTCGTTCCACGCGACGACACGCATG